CAAGATTAAGTAAGCTAATCAAACCTGAAATTCTTGATTTATTTATAACATCATCATTTCATTCCTATTTAAAAAAAAAAAAAAAAAACTTGATGATTGTCTTTTGGGTAGGCATAAACTTGGGCAAAAAAAACTTGAAAAATAAAAAAAAAAAAAAAAGTTAAAAAGAATTTTGGGATCAATTTTTACACGTTTGTATTCAAATTAAGTTTTTTTTATTAAATGATTTTTAATTAAATTAATCTTATGTCAATTTTAGTGTAGTTAGGAACACTAATTAATGAAAATAGATATTATTACAAATATATTTAAATTTGATCAGATGATGGAGGAGAAAAAATAAGGGATTGAAGAGGGTTAAGATGAAAAACAAAAGTCGTTCCTGTTTTCTTACTTTTGGAAAACAGTTTATTTTTCCTCTATGAGAAAGAAAAAAAAATCTAACAAAAAGCAAGAGCATTTTGAGCGTGAAAGAAGTTTGCTACTAAAATTAAATATTAATTGAAAAGTTAAAATTTCATTATGCTTATTTTATTGCATGCGTGAATTTACAAAACTAACTTGTTGCAAAAGCATTTAGTAAAAAATTAAGTAGAGTGCCACTAAATATATCTCATTATGCTTCAAAAAAAATCCAACTTAAGGGTCATCCAACATAGTGGCTTGAAATGAAGTCGTACTATGAATGGTCGTGTAAAATTTATTACAAATCTTGTGAATAATGCAAATTTTACTATTCAAACAATGCTTCATATTGTTTCTATAAAAAAAAAATTAATATAATTAATGATATGTTGTACAAATATTTCTTAATCAGTGTATTTCATTAACTTTTAAATACATAAATATAAGATGTATTCATTCATATCACAGTCACCATAACATAGTGTTATTGTCAATATGGATTTGTTTTCCTACTGTCTTCTTGAGTTTGATAATTTTTTTTACCATCATGATATTCAAGGCAAGATGAGAAACTATAATTTATATTTGTAACTTATTTATTTCAATAGTAGAAGATCGAAGATCAAGTTTTTAAATTTGCACATGATGATAGTGTTGATATAAGATCTGTCGTCTCTTAAATAAAACTATTTGTTTATCCTATTTTTTTTTTTTAATCAACCATAAATAAACTTGCTCCAACATTTAAAATTTCAAATGCAACTTGATGCTTGGTGATCAAGAGTTAATATTATCATTGATTAAAGAAATAATTACAACCTATCATTTGTAGTAGGCCTTTTGAGCATATTTTAATTCTTATAAAATACATCTTCTAATATTTTTCTAATGTTTTATATCATATTTTTTATAATATATATCGATATTGAATTAAGATAATAGATATAATTTATCCCTATTAGTTCTCAATAACCAGTCAAAGAAAATATTTTAAACAATATAGAGTACATGTAACAAATTCTAGTTTTTGAAAGTTTGGTGTTTCTATGTCAACATGATTATTATATGCTATACGATAAATCCCCCATATTTTTTTTGCATTGTCCATGTGGTCAATACCTTTTAAAGATAATAAATATTTTTATCTAAATTTTAAATAATTACAATTCTTCTCAAAAAATATACTTAGCAATTATCTTAATTTAAATATTATATATTTTTTTCAAAAAAATTATCTTACCAAATAGGCTTAGATTTCATAGGTATATCAAAATAAGAATCACGAATATGGTATTGAAATGAATAAATAATGAAAGATGAGTTGTTTTGTTTGAATAATTTAGGAAGGTTTGCTTTGGATCTTCAAAAGAATAAAATTATGTAGCAAAAAGTCAAGGGAAGGAAACGTAATTATAAATTAACTAGAAGGGTAAGCAATGAGTTGTTTATAAAATAAAAAATATATATACATTTTTTAGAAATATAGAGGTGAAAATGTAAGACTTATAAAATTTTACTCTCTATACTTTGAACCTCGTATCGCTGAGTACTGTAAAATGTCAAAGGCTTAGGAGTTAGGACCCCCCCTGGTCGTGTAAGAAAACAAAAGAGGAAGAAGAAGGCATATGCTCAGACTTCTTTGACTTGATTCCTCTCCTTCCAAAAGAATATCCATAGCTTGAGTCTCATCATCACTGGAGATTCCTTTTAAAAAAGAAATCTTTCTGAGCAAAACCATTTTAATACATCACGTATTCATTTACCCACTATTCTATAAAACTATTTCTTCTCCAACATCATGACCCCTCCTACTCTCTCTATAAGTCCTACTCTCTCTCCTCCTTTACTCTCTAACCCAAATTCCCCTTCTTCTTCTTCTTCTTCCTTTTCTTCCTCTTCCTACGGTTTTCATACTGTCAAATTTTCGTCTGTTAAGTCTTTCAGAAGAAAACCCATCACTCTCATTTCCAATCAATCAAGCACTGCAACTACTACAAGACAAGTTTTTGTTCGAGCAAACAATATGACTATTACCGAGGTGCGAGACGAAGAGGAAGAGAATCCTCCTGCGACGATTGAATCCGATACAAATATAAGGCCTCGTCGGATTGCTCTCTTTGTTGAGCCTTCTCCATTTTCGTAAGTTCTTTGTTTTGTCTTTTTCTCTTTTTTACTTCTTCGTTTTTGCGATTGTGAGATTATCCATTACTCCAGATTGTTTTCAGATCGTAAGCTCCCAAATGTTGGGGAGTTTAGAGTTCAACTACTGTCCTTATTTGAGTTTCTTTGATTTAGTGATGATTTCGTAATGTTCGATAAATTGACTGAGTGACTATTGTTATGGTAAGGGTTGTCTTCTGTGCTATGCCAGCCACAAACGATATGAAGTTTGGATCCTACTCGCTTTCTATCTTTTATTGTCCCTTAGCTGCTTCTGGATATGGGTTTTCAACCTCAACTGAGAATTTCTTTTTTCTTTGTTCATCTCTCTTGTTGGTCATCATTGTGTATGAATGTGAATATTAAGCAGTCAAATTAGTAAAATTAAATTTAATCAACTTATAATTCGGGCCTTAGGCTGCACTTAGCTAATCATCTAGTTTTTTTTTCTGTGCTTTCTGATTTGTCCTAAAATTGGATGGACATGTAAACTGCAAACACTATTAGTTTCAGAGGGAAAATGTGCAGTATGGTTATGATTTAGGTAGTTTTGTAAACATGTGCTGAGTGAGGATACATTGTTTTAACTCTCCCTTTTAATTGTCCTGTATTTTCTGCTGGTCAAATTAGAGTATGGGCATTCATGAATTTGTTATTTTTTCTTTTTTTTTTTTCTTTTCCTTGAGAAATTGCTACGTTTTCATCTTGCAGATATGTATCAGGATATAAAAACAGGTTCCAGAATTTTATAAAATATTTGCGTGAAATGGGGGATGAGGTAAGTTAAATCATTGCTTACACTTCTGCACCATTTGACTAGTTATCAGTATGAAAATAACCTTCAGCAATATGATGTGTAATGTCTTGTTAGGGAATCTTTGCTATGCATTTTCTACTTCTCGTTTTATAAAATTATGTGTTACATACAAAAGCACCTATGGTGCTTAAGAATGAAAAATAACATTTGGAAAATGATAATAAAGATATTGTGTGATTTTGATAAAAATAGAAAGTTATTTTAAACTGATGCTATATACACACGATCATTTTCCAAACTTTATATTAATTCTCAACAATTAAATATATTTTCTTGTATAAACAAATTTGAATTTTTTTGAGATAAATAAACAAATTTGAATTTAGAAAATAAAACTTTAAAAATATTTTAATGTATTAAATAGAACCTACCATCTGTATAGCCTGATTGCTTTTTGATATATGATATCTTACACTAATTTTTGTCCTAAATATTTCCCTTTATTTAAACTGTCATCAAACAAATCTTGATGAACATGAATGAGAAGAAAAAAAACGGCTATTGCTGCAGAAACTTGGTTTATCTCTCATCTTTCTGGGCCAATTTCCTGCAATGCTGATGCCCCAAGCTGCTTCTTGAAATATCAAGTTTGCTCTATTCATGGAAATGTATGAACATGATGAACTTACTGTGTGGCTTTATGACACTCTGTAGGTAATGGTTGTGACAACACATGAAGGCGTTCCTCAGGAATTTTATGGAGCAAAATTGATTGGATCGCAGAGGTTGCTTTGATTAGTTAATTCCAAACAAATTTTTATCAATGTTTTTTCGTCATATTCATTGGCTACGCCTTTGTTATTTCCACAACTTTGTTGTACCCACCTGTGCCACAGCATCAATGATTTTGGATCTCCGGAGCACAAAGGATACTAGTCCAGGAATTAAGTTCTATTATTCAATATTGTCATGTTGGATGGTTATCTGTTCACTAGTCCACAATAGTAATGATTGAAGATTCGTTTTTGGTTAATGAAAATAGATAAGAGATCATGATGGTGGATCCTTGTATTTGTATTCTGTACATGTACACATAATGCAGCCTTCTACGCTATGTTGTGAAATAGTTTATTAGAAGAAAGAGTCCAACTTCTGGCTTTTCTAACAAATTTAATTACTAAACCTTCTTGGTTTTCTTTTTGCATTTGTCCTTTTTTTTTCCAATTTTCTTAAACCAACTTGCATTATTGTTTGTACTATTTAATGGGCTGGTTAAGCTGTTTTGGCTATTTATGTCTTTTTGTCATTTGAACCTAGTCTTTTGTTGTGCTACTCTCAAAACTAAAGCTTCTGCCTTTTCTTTTCTCTCACTTTTTGAAGCTTCCCCTGCCCTTGGTACCAGAAAGTTCCCCTATCCCTTGCACTTAGTCCCAGGATAATCTCAGAAGTCGCACGTTTTAAGCCTGACATAATACATGCTTCATCACCTGGTATAATGGTAAGACTTTCAACATTTGGTATATTTTCTTTTGGTGTGGCGTTGTGAAATCTTTCTAAGAATTGATGAATAAATAAGCAACTACTGCTTAGCAATTGACGGCTGATTGTTGCAAACCATCTGTAGGTTTTTGGTGCTCTTGCTATTGCAAAAATGTTGTGTGTACCGATTGTGATGTCTTATCACACCCATGTTCCAGTGTGAGTTTACGTCCTTGATTTAACCTCCCCCTACATATCAACAGTATTCTATGCTCAGAAACTTACTGGAAATAAAAATAAGGAAAGATGTTTCCATTTGCATTTAATTTTCTACCAGTAAATGAGCAAAGAATCTACCAATTCTTATGTTGCTTCTATTGTTAATAGACATAATTGATTTCTTTGAATTATGTTTTACAAATAGATGGACTAGAGCTGATGTTTTAATTGCAGATACATCCCAAGATACACGTTTAGTTGGTTGGTGAAACCTATGTGGTTGATTTTGAGTATGTGCCCTTTCACCCTTTTCCCGTGTAGCATTTATGTGACTGTTATACTCAGACCGCTCGTTTGTGCAGAATTTCTTCACAGAGCAGCTGATCTAACTTTGGTGCCATCAGCTGCCATAGCAAAGGACCTTGAAGCAGCTAGGGTGACAGCAGGTGATTGATTATAAACAAATAAACAGAATGAATTACAATTTCACTGCATGGTTGTGTTTCATCTTCTTGCATTATTTTGATATTTTAGTTTCCTGGTCCTAAAACTTGGTTCCATGCCTATTCACATTATCCTAAACTATCTTGCACTTTCTTCTTGCCAGCTAATAAGATTCGCCTTTGGAATAAGGGTGTTGACTCTGAAAGTTTCCACCCACGTTTCCGCTCTCATGAAATGCGGTTAAGACTAAGGTAGGCCACATGTTGTACAACTTAGAATGTATTTCTTTCCTGCATCAATTAATTTCTCATGATGTTTCCTAAACAGCAATGGGGAACCAGAGAGACCATTAGTGATTCATGTTGGTCGACTCGGGGTCGAGAAGAGTTTGGATTTCCTCAAGAGGTAGCACTCATAAACTGATGAACTTTGTAACCTACCAGTTAGTCTTTTCATTTTGTGATTCATTATCCAGGCATAAGACGTACACAAACACATGCATAGATCTTGTTCTGGTGCCAATAAGATCAGTAGAATTCAGAATACTTGAAACTGACACAATTGAGCTATTTAAGTGGTTGTTGATTAAGAGAACGTCTAAATATTTTCATTGAAAATTCTCAAAGATTTCCATTTTTCCAAATTTTAGCAGATTTTCCTGTCGTTGATATTGTTAGCATGGTGCTTGGGTTGGAATTATGTTACCACATCCTGATTTTTTTTTAGTGTATACATCCTGATTCATATCCATGCATATTTAAGTGCTTATCTCTTCCAACATCCTAAATATTGGATGATCTTATTTGACAGTGTCATGGATAAACTACCAGAAGCTCGAATTGCTTTTATTGGAGATGGGCCATACAGGTACTACTACTGATCTTTTTGGCTACTCAGTAACTCAATTATTCTTAATGAAGCATTATATTTTTACTCACAGTTATTCTTAAAGAAACACTAATATTCATGTAAGACATTAACTCAAAAAACTAGGTAATTTTTCTTCTTAGTTGTGCTAGCTTTGCCAGTATCAACTGGGGGTCAGAAAAAGGAACAGAGTAGCTCTTATATCCAAATGGCTACTTTTGATAATATTGTTAATTCCATGGAATATGAATAGAGATATAGAAATGAGATTAAAGTCTGGATCAGGTTAGTATATGCTAATTCTATTTTTAATTTAAGTTAGCTGAGTTTGTGATTTTCTACCTAATCAATTACAAGTAAAATTTTATAGGAATTTGATGTAGGAAAATAAATTTTATTTGCTTATGAATCAAATAGGGAAATTATAATAGGGAAATATCAAGTAATTGAGGTCAAGAAAAAAATTGGAATTGGGTTTTCAAAATGCCCCAGCATTTTGTTTTACTGAGCATGATTCATGTTTCACAGGGAGGAGCTAGAAAAGATGTTTTCTGGCATGCCTGCAGTGTTCACCGGGATGTTACAGGGTGAAGAGCTCTCACAGGCATATGCGAGTGGGGATGTTTTTGTGATGCCTTCAGAATCCGAGACACTGGGACTTGTTGTTTTGGAGGCCATGTCTTCGGGGATCCCTGTTGTGGCAGTTCGTGCTGGGGGAATTCCAGACATCATTCCACCAGATCAGGATGGCGAAACTGGCTTTCTCTTTAATCCTGGAGATGTTGATGATTGCTTGAGCAAATTGAAGCCTCTTTTATATAACAGTGAGTTGAGAGAGAGCATTGGTGCAGCTGGACGTGAGGAAATGGAGAAATACGATTGGAGAGCAGCAACTAGAAAGATACGTAACGAACAATATAATGCTGCCATTTGGTTCTGGCGCAAGAAGAGAGCTCAGCTTCTAAGACCTCTACAATGGTTGGCAAAACGCCTTTTCCCATCACCAGAAATTAACTGCAGATGATGCAGAGAGTCCCCTCAAGAACAAAAGAGGGGAATGGGGAGGATGGAAAAGATGTAAAGCTGGTTTGGGGTTTGGTTTGGGTTTCGAAGAAGCCCCAAAGAGGTGGTATGCGTATAATTTGATTGTTTGTGATATTTTCACTTCTTTGTGTGAAGGATCTTCGATATGGTTTGTCCTTGTATCAAAACTGAATGATTCAATATGAAGGGTAGTTAGGGCCAGAGTTATTCCCTTTTTTTCTTGGCATTTTTTCTCATGTGAATCTTTCTTTTCTTTAAAAAAAAATGAAACCTTCAAAGCCATATGACCCTAATAGATTGAGGAACTGCAGTCCAAGACATTGTTTGGTCAAAGAGATTCTATTTCTTAATATCACTGAAGAACCCACCAATAGATGGTTTTTATGTGTGATGATACAAAAGACATGGTGAATCTAATGGTTTATGGATTGAGACATTATGATTTAGTGTCAATAATGATGATAATAAGAAATTTAAGTATGGGGTAACATAAGGGTTGTCTGTGTTATGGACCCCTATACCATTAAATATGAAAAGAATTTTGTTAAGGTGTAGTTTACTTCAGCATGTACAAGTGAGAGATCTTGACATGTGAATTGGGTTGAGTTCTGCCATAGATGGGCCAAGTAAACTTATTATCTATAACCCAAAATCATCAAAACCACCCACCCACTAAGCAATTTAAAGACAACAAATGAAGATTCATACAAAAAATTTTGAATAGTTCAAAAAAATTCTTGATGAATTTTGAATCTAAATTTGTTGATGAAACGCAATTGTGTGAAGATGGGTAATTATTTTATTGTGAAATATGACATTGTTGAGATTGCCATTTCTTATCCAAACAGCTTTTTAATGCTCATAGCCATGATCATATACCTTGATAACCCTCAATCATTGTCCTTGCTTTAGTACTGTAAGTAATACAATCACATTCAATAATATAATTCCCCACCACCACCAACTGTAAACCCAAAAGTCACAACTCACAACTCATCATTTCTTCTTTTCTTTTTCCATTTTTGTTTTTGTTTGATTGTGAATTGTAACTTTGCATCAATCAATTATCAAAAGGTTCAAGGTAATGTTAATTTTTTTTTTTAAAAAAAAAAATTAATTTATCACCAATTAAATTATGGGCAAATTACTATTTTTCTTCATGGGTTTATTATAATATCTTGCAAAATTAAGAATAATAAATTAAATAATATATCAAAATTAAACCGAGAGGAATTGAGTAATAAAAAAAATATATTGAAGATCAAATTATAACAATAATAAAAAAATAATTCAACAATTTGCATTGAAAATTAATATGTAATTGTAAAAAATCAAGTTACCTTTATATTCAATTAGTTCCTTTATGATTCAGTGTTCATTTCCATGGCGCAAAAACACTATATCACTAACATATATACAATAATAATAATAATAATAATAAATTATCTATCTTCATATATTACTTAATTATCTTTAATAGGAGACTAAGGTTATGACAGTAAAAAATTTGTAAATGTGAGAAATTTATTTGTAATTTTACATTTAATTTAAATAACCATCACAAAAAATTATTTTTAAGATCCAAAATTGACTTCGGTTTATAAAAATTAATGTTTTCAAATTTGATCAATTATGGTAAAATTAAAAATATATTCTTTTAATTTTACATAAATTTTTGTTTGTGGGTAAATTTTTTTATTGTTAGAACAGAATTAATAGCCACTTCTTGTTAAAATAGATGTAAGTTTATACATAATTTTCATGATATTTACAAATTTGTTTCAAACATAACTTAATAATTAGTTATTGTAAAAATAATTATTTTAAAATTAGTTTTCTAGAATATTTTACCATATATTTATATTTGATATTTTTAAAAAAGAAAATTGATGATAGTATATATTTAAAATTGAAAAGTTTGTCTGATTTCATCACGTTGAAAATAAAAAAGTAGCAATTTACAAAGCTTAACCCACAGGTGTGGGCCGACGGCAAAAGCCCAAACATCACTGCTTCGGTTCTTATCTTCAAATCACATCCGTCCAAATTATGACCCCCCATCATTTGGACCTTTATGCAATCCCTGATGAAGCGCCACTAGCCTGTAATCACTCACACCATTTCCGATACGTACTGCATGAACTCCTCGTCCATCTCCAGCCCAGCCATTGTATCCGGCGCCAAAACTACCTCGAGATCAACGCTCCCATTTCCTTCTCTCCCTGGAAACGCCGAGATCTTACCGTCGAATTTGTTGGCCCTACCACTCCTAACGGCCAAAGGTCGGCCCCACCCGAAATCGTTATCGTACATGGGGAATCTGGGAGAGCTACCCATCGTGATTGACGCCCCGTCGAAGTTCCCAAGCGGAAACAACCTAGGCTGTTTCTCCCAATTCTCAACCCCTCTACGCACCGTTTTGTCATCGTGGGCCACCACGTTCTTATGCAGCAGATCGGCTCCCCATCCCAGATCCCGAGATAACAGCTCGCCGGCCGAAGCATAAGTCGGAATGCTCTGTATCGCGTTACCGAAATAGTACGGGTCCAGCCGTGGCTCCAGCCGGTGCCGGCAGTTTATGGCCATCCTGAACGTCGTCGTTTTGGTCTGATCGAGCTTCCTTGCGCGCGTTACGGACCGCCACAACTGTGCGCTGAGTGACTGGAAAGACGAAATCTCGTCCGTCCGATTGAGAACATTGCCATTACCCGTAACGGACGTTATCTTTCCGTTAGTGTCGCCATTAACGGTTTTCCAACTGTCGTTGCCTTGCTTTCCTAGTATTTCCTGACTAATTAACTCACCCCTGTTAGCTCTGTATTTAAGCTTTCCAATGGCTTCCTTGCTGAAATGGAAAATCCTCTCACGCAAAGGCTCGGCTGCATTGAAAGTTACAGTGGGTCCACCAGTAGGGAACTTCAGGACGGCGGGGGAGTCAAAAACGGTGTCGCGTGAGAAGTCAGGGGCCTTGGGAAGCTTCTGGGAGCCTTTACAGATTGCAGCGAGGGTGTTGAAGAATTGCCAGAAAGAAGTTCCGTCGGTGACCGCGTGGTTGACGGTGCATCCGACGAAGACTCCGTCGGTAAGCTCAGTGATTTGGACGGCGGCGAGGGGTTTGGAGTGGCCGGAGTAGCTAATGAGCCAGTCGAAGGTGAAGAAATCCTTGACACAGGGAGGTACATCGGTATGGGAGAGAATGGAGTGGAGGGTGATGTGGGGAGCGGTGGCAGTGACAAATTGGACTCCGGCATCGTTGCAGAGAATACGAACATGGCCGTCATGGCCGGTGGAGAAACGACCGGCGAGGGGAGGGAAGTGGGAGAGAGCAACGGAGAGGGAGTGCTTGAGTGAGTCGATGAAATCATCAATGGAGTAAGGGGGTTGAGTGAGGAGAACACCCTTTTGGATGTAGTGACAGGAAAGCATGGGGAGATCAGAGACGGAGAGTTTGAGAGATTTAATGGTGGATTTTTTATCTGGGTAGATTGTGCATTGGGAGAGGAGTGTAACAGAAGAAGAAGGCATAGTTAATGTTTTGGTGGATTCTTGAGGTTTAATTCAGAGGGGAAGAAGAAGTGGGAGTGAGAGAAAATGGAGAAGAAAGGGGAGATATATAAAGGGAAGGAGGGGGTTGGATACATGAACATGGGAATGAGTAGTTTCGTGGTGGTTGTTATTTGTGTGAGACTATACAATTATAATTATAATAATAATAATAATAATAATAATTATTATTATTATTATTATATATCCATTAGTTTATATGGCTGCTCTTTCTCTTTTTCTTTTTCTTTTTTTTTATTTTCACAAAAAAAAAAAAAATCAACAGAAGATGTATGAGGGATTAAGGTGCTTTTTCTTATTTCTCAATAGAAGTTCTTATAAAAGCTAACAACCTACTTTGTGTTTCTTTCCATGTTTATCAACCAACTTTAAAATTTAAGAGACAAACTATTTTAGGTAATACCTTGTTGGAAGTGGAAGCAGGTAAAAAAGAGATCAATACAAATACTCAATTTCTAATTTATAGCTGTCACTTTAAATCTCGAAGTACATACACACACACACACACACACACACATATATAATTACTATTACAGCTCTTAAAAATTCTGAATACATGAATATAATTAAGTTTAATTTATAAATTACAATTAAATTTAAAACATGAACCATTTAAAAAAAATTCAAAAAACACATTAATTATCATATTTTATAACCCACATTCAATTGAATTCTTTGGTACTCAAAAGAGTTTAAACATGTTGAAATTTATAACTTATTATTTTTAATACTATCTTGATTAACTTACAAAAATATCACACAGTGAACTGTATTAATTTATATGTATCATCAATCAACTATTTTTTTTTTAATATATAAATAGTGAGTACTTATATAACTTTTTATAAGTATGTTCTCACTTTTTATAGATTATCACTTATGTATTCATTACAGTCATGATTTAGATATGAATGTACAATTTTCATTGAATAAAGTAAAGATTTTCTATTATAATGAGTAAACTAAAATTTTCTTTTATTATTAAATTACTAATTCTGCAATTACCACTTAATTAAAATTCAAAAATTTATAAATAGGAAATTATATATTGGTTCTAATTTATCATAATAATAATAAAAATGATATTCTCATTCATATCAACTCAAAATATTCGGATTGAAATGCCAAATCAATTGCAAAATAAAAGTGATAAGAACTGAAGGTGGAGTCTTATCACCCAATTTTTTTCTGTAGACTCAGATTTCTGTAGGAACCCAATCTTGAATTGTACACCGTGGAAGATTGCTTGTCAATCAAATATATCTTTGTATCTGTATCTACTGAATACACGTGCATGCAAAGCTCTGATCACATATACATATACATATATATATATCTGTATCTACTGAATACACGTGCATGCAAAGCTCTGATCACATATACATATACATATACATATATATATGTACATTCACATCCAATTTTAGATTACTTGATTTGTTTTGTGTTATATACAGCGGTAGGATTATAAAAAACTGAAACTTGTATTTTTCCGCAGGGAAAGAAGGGGAAAAGAAAAAGGTTTGGTGTTTGCTATGTGCCTACATTGATGGGGGAAAGAAGAAATTGTTTTTCATGTTTGGCGGTCTGAATTTTCTTAGGAAGCCCTTATACATTTACACACACACACACACACACACATATACTCATATATAAGCTCTGATATGTATAGTGTTGACGGTCTACAGGTATATGCATAGATAGTATTATGGATTCAGTAAAATTCCCAAATAATTCATCCTTAAGTTGCCAACACACTCTTACTTAAACATTACAAGTGCGCACCGTGTAGCTCCGACAGATAGCCAATTCATTTTTAATTTATATTATTTCTTTACCTATTTATGTTTATAAGTCTGTACAATACAAATTCATATCTTATATTCTCCCTAAAGATTAATAATTTTACTTAAAAATAAATAAATAAATAAACTAAGAACAAATTTAGGTACATGATAATTTTATCTTTGGTTTTTTTTTTTTTAATAATAAAATCATGAGATTTACTTTATGAATAGTAAAAAAGATTCAGTACGAATGGTCATGATAATCTGTTGACCAGCAATATCTTTGTTAATTGTACTTGTGACTGAACTAAAATTATATACCATTCAATTTAGGGTTCTTTTGGAAAAAAAAAAAAAAAAATACATGGTGGGTCAATATATATACATACATATAGACATACACACGCAAGTATAGAATGATGAATTGTTGAAAAATCAGGTGGAATGAGTGAGATGGCTAGAATTTATTACAAAAGAAATTATTTTTTTCTTGAAAAAAATAATTAACCATTCAATCAAATATATCAATCATTTTCTGTTGAAGGAAGAGAACTAAAAAAATAACAAAATTTAAAATAACAAAATTTTCATCGAAGTTATACAATAATTTTTTAACTTATTCACAGATAACTAAATTAACACATAAAACCCATGAAAGAAATGTAATTAAAGAAAGGAAATGTAACCCTAAGTCAGAATAAAGTAAACCTAAAGAACTAATCAAATTATAATCTCATTGTGCAATGTCTTTCACTTGGATAAAAGTCAAATCCTATTATCTTGCCAATTGCATTTCAAAGAGCACAACTTATTCTTCTTAAGCCATTAAATAGAAAGGACCCCTTAGCATATTGACATATAATTCCTAAACCTGACTAAACCTTACATCCCATAAAAGCATCATAATTAAGCTTATAAATACAAAGATGTGGCAGACACCAATGCGTAGGCAAATTTTCTACCTATTGTACATACGCATCCTTCTTTAACATCTCAAATTCATCAATATGCATATGCAATTGCAACTTTGCTAAGTATCCTAAATATACTGTTGTCAAGAATGGATAGATCATTTATAAGTCAAGATAATTTAATTGTCGTAGGAAAATAATCAAAAAATTGCTTAAAGGGCTTAACTTCCAAATATCCCTTATATATAAAAGAGTTCTAAATAAATAGTCAACACACTCTTCACCTTCACCTTCCCCACACATCTTTTAGATTATGTCTACATCCATACCTCTTTAAACTAAGCAAAAATTCACAATAATGATATTCTTAGTTAAACACCACATAAGATACTTTTTCCTTGGTGAAGTATTAAAGTTCTAAATTTTTTTCTAACATAGATTCATTCCATAAAATGATGATCCCGCCACATTTACCAACATTTACCTTGATAAACTTATAAATCCAAACTTAACAGTGGATAATTCAAATGACTCATCTTTTATTTTAATTTGTTAGGAGATTTTCTATACCTCATCGGTAGACTCTCTATCAACTGCACTTCATGAAGATGAAATAACTCTAATAAGAGGTTAAAATTCTTATATGATCTATCATAAATAATGAAATTAAAAACTTAAATTATAGAAGAAATAGTTGGTATAGGACTCCAAATCCTCCCACTCGGTTGTTCTAGAAGCCATTCATCCTCCCATAGTCGAATGTTACTATCATTCCCTACCCTCCATCTAAATAACATATTAAAGTAATTTTTTATCCAACAATATGCTTCTTTATATATAGTTAGGTTGTCTACCCAACGTCACCTTAAAAAAATCTCTGTCTTTAAAATATCTTGTCCTTTTTAATTAAAAAATAAAGAAATTATAATTCTCTAGCATCTTAAAGTTTGTTTAGCAAATAAAGCTTTATTAAAACACTCAAAATCCCTAAATCCAAGGTTATCAAGAGTTTTGGCAAACTATAAAAAGACCAACAAAGCTAATGGATCTTAAAATGTTGCTCCTACTAATGCCATTAGAAATTTGCTAGCTATCTCTCAAGTTGTTTACAAGCACCTTTAGGAGGTAACACCATCCTCATGACACAGGAGGGAATAACTTGTATTATTAATTTAATATGTTTCTTGCCTACACTTAAAGAGAGTAAATGACCATCATTGTTGAATTCACCTTATCATTCTCTCTTATGTCCAAAAATCTCATTCAAAAATCGACTAACCATTGCCAAAACCGCCAAATATTTAGCATGTCCCGCCATCCCATGAACACCCAATATATGACATAGTTCTTTACAATGTTAATGATAACAAAAGTGAAATGGGTGGAGTAGATGGAGCAATCTTTATACCAATAATTAGTTCAATATCTTCAACTATCTATAATATAGCTAAGAATGCTTTTATACAAATAATAAACAAATAAGACAATAAATCATCCCTTACGGGCAACCTTTTTATGGATACATAACTGTAAAGGTTAACCATTTATCAAGACATAATAGGAACAAATGATATGTATGTCATCATAAGTAAGACAGAAGCAAGGTAAAAACCTAAGTTGAAAAGTTTTTTTTTTTTTTCAAAAAGGGTCAAACAATTCTATGATATGCCTTGCTAACATTTAGCTCTAAAGCAAAATAGCCAAAATGCATTTCTTATGAAACGGACCAGTTAAAAAAAGTAACCATAACATTGTTTGTAATCAATCTACTAAGTATAAAAGCAAATTGTGAGATATACTCATGCAAAAAATTCTTTAAACAATTTATAACACATTTCATAATCAATTTCATAATTACATTACATTAGCTAATATGTCTAAATCATTTAAGGTTTTTGGTTATGAGACTTTAGGCACAATGGTGATATATGTATGATTTATCCTATGTAATGATGTACGATTATTAAGTGCATCAAGAATCTAGTTATATATACATGAATAATGTACCAAAATTTTTAAAAGAATAGAGAAGACATACCATCCATTATTGGAATTTCAGTATTGGTATATTTATTTTATTGCCACAAAAACTTCCTTAGCAATGTGTGGTGTATTTGTCCTATAACCAACAAATCACCACTACTCTATAACTAGATTATGGCATGAAGGTTCTTGCAACCACGTAGCTTAAAAATAAAATAAATTTTTTCTTTTTTAATGTATGTCAAGATTTTTATAGTATTGAAGATAGTAACAACACAATCAGAATCGTACTTAAATGAATATTGAATATAAGAAAATAAAAAATTGATCTCTAAGAATTTATCATAATGAATCTCTC